ATAAAATTGAATTGAATTGAATTGAATTGAATTGAATATTAGTAGTTTTCAAGATACATTTTCTTGAAAAATGGTCTGGTTTTTTTGTACTTTGAAATAATGAGGCTACATTAAAACATGAATATCTCAGAAAATATTAAAGATAAAAGCCTTTAATTTCAGTTATAATTATTACCTCAGTTATAATCAGAGCTTCACCTGGAAATGGCAGAATTGTGTTTCATTTGGATTAACTTACCCACTGATATCTTCTAGTATTTCAAGTATTTCTTCTACAGGCTTCATTTTGCAGTGTCACATATTTTTTTAGTGCATCTTTAAATATGGAACTTTATACAACTGCTTGATTTTTTTTTTGATTTAAACTAGCCATATATAAAAAAGCCTTAAATCATTCTATATGTCTAAAATTAAAATCGTACATTTTTTAGGGAAATCTGAGAAAATGTTCTACAATTTTTATTATTTAAGATGGAATGACCACCTTCCTCACAGATTAACTCAGTGTTGGACAAACCATTCTTTTTCCTGGTAACCAATCCAGAGACAGGAACACGCTGTTTGGTAACCTACTGGCCTGGAGTCCACTGATTAAAGGCTAAAGTCCGCTTCTCTGTGCTTGCCCGGCTGTTTCCGACTTCATGGCTACAGTAAAAGTGGAGATGTTTCTAGAACAAATAATAGTTTAAAAAAGGGAGATAGGTAAAGTGCATGCTCAAAGATGCATTGAGATTCGATTTACCCAATATTCAGTACATTTCCCCTGACGATGACACACACTACAGACGTCTAAACACATAAAATACTCCTGTGTACTGGAAATATATTTGATCTTCTTCCTTATCCTGCAGAGATGTTGTGACCTGTTACGTTTATGACAACTTGAAGGGGACCCATCAGCTGTATGCCACACCTCCACACAACAACCGTGTAAACCCACAGAAAGACCACGTTTCACTTTTTATCTGGCTACACAGCTACAAGTTCATTACTTGTGCAACGTGGGGAGGTCGTCGGTGTCGTGCTCCGGGTCTCTGGTGTTAGGAATCACCCCTATGATGGTGCTTTTCAGCGAAGTCCCCTTCAGCAGCCGCTCTCGGACAAGGTGCATGTTCCGTGGGGAGTCCACGCTGAACCTGACCGTGGAGCCCGGGAGAAGAACTCCTTCGTGGGTCAGCAGCAACGGGAGACGGCTCGGTATCTGAATTGCGCCGCCGGAGACCATTGTCCAGTTTTTTTTTTTAAATGTCGGTGCCCAGTGACTGTTTTATAACACAACTTCAGTAAACACGTACTTGTTTTGCTGTTAAGTAGGCCAGCCGAGATTAAACACAAGACTTCCGGGTAGAACTTTCAAAACAAATCTCTCATTGATGACCTGATGAGGACATTTAATTTCTATCGCAAAAAAGAGAACTCGTATTCGAAGCAATTTAAAACTACAACGCAACTGGGAGTTTTTATACTCATTTTCAAACTATTTTTACATCCGAAAAAGCTTTTTTCTGTCATTCTCCCATATCGTAACTTCCTGTCGGAAGTTGTTGGATGGGCTACGGTAAATGCAGAGGGACAAACAACATGCGATCGCATAATGATTTAAAAACAAAACAAAAAAAAACGAAATTCAGACTGAGTTAGCTTTCACGATTTTATTCGTTAATCTGTTTTCAGGGTGGAAGAAAATAAGAATTTTGAATAGTTAACCACATGTCACATGGCAAGCTGCACACTACCTATTTCACACAGTACTATTATATTCATTGCATAGTATAGTTTAAAAATACTTCTCACAGCCAGGTAAATTATATTTCTGATATGTTTATGCAATGCTGATTAAGTAACGCTGATTAGTTAATTAATAAACTAATTTTAAAACATAAATCTGCACAGTAGCTCCACTAACAATCAATTAAACCTTTTTTTTAAAAATCCCCAACTTGTATTTTATTATTCAAGATTCTTAAAAATAGTAAAATAATAGTGCACAATCATATTTGGACACTCTTTCCAAAAACACAGGACTGGATACAGGGTTAGTTGATAAAAAATAGCAATTTATTTTTTATTTCTTTAATAAAAGTATTCTTATAGCAAAGTACATTTTTAAAAAAAGAAAATAAATATTCAATATCTCGAGTATAAAAAACAACAACAAATCTGTTCCTAAGATCTATTTTCTGACAATAAGCCATCCATGTGTTTGCCAGGCAGGAAATATTACTTACTTTTCACAATAAGGGATTTTCGAATACATCTGCTCTTGTGGTTACAAAAAACAGCCATACATTTACATGTGATTGAGAAAGTGTGATAGAAATACACCAATTTCTGCTGTTCCTTGTCGACATCATTCCAGAGCATCTTTTGCACATGAGAACCAACCCAAGTTTTGCCCCTTAAAAATCTGATGCTAAATATAATACATGAAAATCATCGTTCTCCCTCCAAAAGAGTGACAAGATCAGGCTTGCGAGGCTTACGTGTATATTTCATGTGTTTGGAGTGAATTCATGAACTAATTAGAAAGCATTTTTCCATACGAGAAACAAATACGGAAGTCTTATAAATGAAACAATTTTTCTAATGTGCAAAAAATGCAAATACATGTATTGCAGTTTTGTATAACTTACATTTATATTTCAAAGTTATATTTCATTATTAAGTCATATATATATATATTTATTTTAGTTTAAGTTAAATTCTTTCATGTTTCATTTCAACAAACAATATCCTTTAATATAACAATCTTAAAGGGAAGGATAATGACTGCTCCTAGCTGGTATGATAAACCAGTTCTTTTTTTGCAATGTTTGCACAGGCATTTCAAGAGTGTTTTTGAAACTGTTAACATTGCTAATGATAATAAATACATTCAGCCCTAACGCAAATAAGGGGATATGGGAATGTTGCACCATAAACTGACTGAACCAGTATGTTGGGATTTGAAAGCAATGAACGCTGTGCATGGAACGTACAATGAGGAAAAACAACAGTCTAAGGAAAACAGTGGCACATGACGGGGTGAGCAGATTGTCTTCAGTAAGTGACTGTGCCAAACAGTTTCAAAGGCCGACCCCACCCTTCTTGCTGTAACGTTATGAAACGCTGCTCTTTTTAACTGCTTGAAACTTGTGCATTAAAGAACTATATCAGTTCAAATGGTAATGTTTTTCTCAGCATTGTCTCAAAGCAGGTTTAAGATTTGCCTTCTATACTTCAGTGGAGAACCTGTTAACATAGTGAGTTAGTTAATTAGATTAAATCTCTTTAAACAAAGTCTATTTGTATTTATAACGTTTAAGTTTCCTAAATAAGCCAAATATGCCTCACAAATCATTGAAACTACTACCAGAATGCTTTTTTTTCTACTGTTATGTTTATGTTTCTGTATGTCTCAAGATTTCTTTCGAACACTTAGCCTCAACTTTACGTCACCATCATCAATAATCAAATGAAGCATGTATAATAGAGTTTTACTCAAACAACAAGAAAATATGAAGGATGCTTTCAATCCTGATAAGAACAAATGACCTTTAGGTAACTCCCTTTAACATCTGCTCACTCTTGCCTTAAGTAGTTAAATGTGTTGAATGGCCGAGTTTAAAAATATGGCTATGGCAGCTGAAATTAATTGATGGTTGCGAGCTGAAAATATTAGCATAAGCTGCTTCGTTTTAATGGCTTACTGTTTTTCTTACTTTTCTGTTCATTTTACCTCATCCAGCTGTTTTTTTTTCACCAAACTGCAGTTTGGCTGATAATAACAGATAAGAAAAATTCCACAGAGATGTGCTCCAGTGTGGGGAAAAAAACTATGCAACCCATTACAGTTGTTGATGTTGCCTTGACACAGCAGCTGCTCAGTAAAGATGTTAAGCATTTACTGTATTGAAGTGTACATGTTCACATCCAAGCCCCTGGTTAGTTAACAATTTTGAGAATCAGAGTTAATTATTACCAAAGATGAGGTTAGGGTGTGAACATTTCAGCATGTAACAAGCTAGATTTCTGGGTATTAACACACCCTGAAGAAAGCTAAAACTGCACTACTTTTTACTTCACTACGTTTGTTCACTACTGTGTTTGACAAATCTGTGTAGAGGGCCTTTTTTAAGTGAATCTTCACTGGCACTCCAAACAGAAATACTAGCTTACCATAAAAACATTTTTTCAGTCAGTATTTATATAGTTGCACATGTAGAATAGAATCTCTAAGTCCAAAACTCCACTGAAGAAGCACCATAACACTTTTTGTGAACTTTGAAATGCATCTTGAAACTTGTTCCTGTGTGTAAAGGTTTAAACTCTAAGTGATATTGCATGAAAATCTTGTTGACTTGCCTACATTTTCCTTTTTTTCACATATTTACAGTGCTTGTCAGCCAAAAGTCCAACTTCTGTAGTAAACTGTATGTTTCTCTTTGCCTTACCTTCTCATAACCTTGCCTTGATTTGAATCATTTAAGGGGTAACTCTTAACTCTGATATTAAATCTCAGTATGGATGTGTTTGAATGCTGAGAACAATCCCACAAGATTTCTAATGTTGCAACTACACTGAGCTGAATTTTACATTTTGGTTTTGCAACTGTCTTTGTGTGCATCTCCAACATGTTCATAGTTAAATTTCTGTGAGGGGTAACTCAAGATAATGGACAACAGACAGAAGTGTCAATTATTATTATTATTATTATTATTATTATTATTACTGTTGTTGTTACTATTATTTTTATAGAATATAACTTAACTATGGGGCAAATAACATCTGACTGTGATGTAACTTCATATTTAAAATGCTAACAATCATTTGAGCTTTGTTTAGCTACTAAGTCCTCAAATTATTTAATAGTTGCCTCATGAAAAAAACCCATAAGAGATCTACAGCAAGTATAAAATGCATAGGTTGGATGGAGGGAGATGAATGCATTTTCCAATCTCATTCTTTGCATAATAAACATTTAGGAAAAAAATACATATAATGGAGCCAAAATGTACACACATTTTTCAACAGCCTTGGCTAAGCAGTCTGGGCAGCTGTATAAAAATGTACAGTCAACAACTGTAGAATAAGACCAGTAGTTATCAGTTTGCATTTACGCTTGGAGTTCATATACACTGCTCCTGCTTTAGCACACTGATGTTCAAAAGAGGCGAATTCTGGCAAATGTACAAAGTCAGCTGAAGTTTCCCAATCTGTCCTTGGCCTCTGACATGAACCACACAGGCCCGCAGGAGCGCATCACAACTTTTTGAGCAGTGGTTTGGCAAAGCTGCAGGTGAGCATTAACCCTTTGTTTAGAAAGAATCCACCTTAGATAAAATATTGACCACACATCAGTTCAGTCGCTATTTGTGAACATGAGCAAATCTGATCCAAAAATGCTATATAGATTAAGATTAAATAATCTTAATCTGAGAGGATGCCAAGAGACAATGAGCTGGCATTTTTACTCAAAATTTCATTTGATGTCATTTAACAGAAAGCCTTTAGGTTCACAAAGGTTTGAGAGATATTATGTCTTTAATTTTCATCTGCTTTGACACAGAGTTGAAATTATGAGGACAAGCTCTGGATAATCTTAGCTGTATATAGCAGATTTGGAAAAGACTTATTGATGTTCACAAATCAGGTCTGAACTCTCATTTCAGTGTGTATTGTCCTTTTACCCATCTCCCTATAGCTCAAGGGAAATAATAATACTAATCCCTAATCACTAGGGACAACTTGACTTGCTTCTTCTCAGCTTTCGGGCTGCATGTCTTTCTTCCTGCCTTTCCGCCAATGAGAAACTTCACAGTCTGAAAAACAAATGAGAAGAGAAACTAATTTAGGCGTTTACACATTAGCTTTCCTCATCATGTTTTATTGCCACATAATCAGTATAACAATATAACTTCTCTTTCAGGCAAGTGAAAGATCATTCCAGAACAGAGCCAAGACCTTTTTGAAACAAATCCCCTTTGGAATTGTGTCATACTGTCATGGTCCTGGGTCGGTGACCCAGCGCCTAGTTTATTCTGATTTTGTATTGGTTGTTGGGGTTTGGTTGTAGTGTTTATTTTCCCTACCTGTGTCTCCCTCTGTGCTCTGTACAGGTCCCCGAGTTTTGTGTTGTAAAAGAGTCTGTGTGTTTCCTGTTTTACTTTGTAGGT